TCTGCTGCGGGGCTCAGAGCTGGAGCTGGGACGCTGATGCTCCCTCACTTCTTCCAACGGGACACCTTTGCCTCCCAGGTGGCTTTGACAGGTTTGACCTAAAAAGTCAAAGTCCGCTCATTCTCTGCCTGCTAGGGCAGGATGCTGGTGACAGCTGAGGGATGAAGAACCTTTCGGTTGGTTGGCTTTATCAAATGCCAGTCCTTTCCATGTCACCGTGTCCCCTGAAGAGAGCCGTTAGCTGGCCTGCAGCTTTGGATCCCCTGCTGCCGATGGCGTGGAGCACCCTCTCCCTCTTCAAACTGGGAGTGCTCCCACCTGCGGGGTCCCTCGTGTGGGGGAGCCTCTGTTAGTTCACAAGCCTCCCAAATGTTTCTTGTTTGGCTAACGCCGGTTCTCAAAGGTGAAATGGCTGAATTGAGAGAAAGGTAATTCTGTCTGGAAATACGTCAATACCCAGATTTTAAATGTTGCTTTATTTGCATAACAGAAGAAGCAGACATGCCGCAATGTGCCTCTGTGTGCAGCAGAGTCAGTCCCATTTGTGTTGACATAAGTATTTTGATCCTGCAAACAGAGTTTGGCCCGTTGCATCCCTCTCGCGCTGCCTGTGGCAGGTCTGTTAGCACAGACGGAGGCTAGATTTGTCCTGTAACAGCCCAAATAGGCAAGAAATCCACCCACGAGCATAGGGTAATTGTGCTTAAATGCAATTTCTCAGTACTAATCTGAGCTAAGAGGATAGTAAAGTCCTTTTTGGAGCCTGAAGGGCTGAAAGAAGAATGCCCAGTGATGGGGGATGCTGCAGGTCCTGGGCTTCGTCTTGACTGAGCTCCTGTAAGTTAAGGACTGGGCTTCTCCTCAGGCAGGTACCATCGCAGTCCTAGGGTTCAGGATTGCAAGGAGGCACAGAGGCCACAGAAATCAATGGACAGAAATGTTCATCTGGAGACTTTGATCATCTGTAACCAAGAAAGAGTAAATTAGATTCTGTTCACGCTTCTCAGAAGCCTCTGTTCTTATCTTTCCAGTCTAAGCCTGTAGTTGCAGGTCTAACCTGACTTACAAAGAGTTCATATTCAAAAATGTAGCCTTACCTCTGAAAAGACAGTATCCCAGATACCATTTCTTGTTCTGAAATCAACCTAGAAGTTAAGTGGAAAGCAGAATTTTTCCCTGAGAAATTTTTGCTTGGCTTCCCCACTGGCTCTTCCAAAGGTTTTGTTTGCAATCAGCCTTTCATAATTTCACGGCCTGGAATGAGCCATAGTTGATGTTTCAGTAACTGAAATAAAATTTAGCTTGAATTTGGGACCGGTCTCCAAGGAAATGAAGTATTTTAAGTTGAATTGGTATTTCAGAATGCAAATTACTGTTTTAAGGAAACCTGTGTGTATTGGTTGGAACTGGCATTTCTCTGATTTAAGTGAAAATAAATACTGGCCGGGAAAAAGGATTTTCCCCGCTGCTGAGGAAGGCGTTCCCAGCAGCGCCTGCACCGGCACGGTGTGCGTGAGCGTGCGACGCTGCCCGGGGCAGGCTTCTGGCCCGCTCAGCAGCGCGTTCTTTGTCCTCCCCGCCCCGACCTCCTGCGCTGTCTCTTGCAGGGGGAATGGAGAAGCTGAGTGTGGCTCACAAGCTGCCCAAGGCCTACAGCACTGGCTTTATTGGCTGCATAAGGGACGTGATTGTCGACCGCCAAGAACTGCATCTGGTGGAGGACGCTTTAAACAACCCCACGATATTACACTGCTCAGCCAAATAGACCCCCAGGGACCCTTCCTTCTCCTTCCCTCCCTCCTGCCTATTGCTGTAATTATTTTCTATTTTTGTAAACTTATTGCTTTTTATATTTTGGGGGGAGGGGGGAATGGGAGGGGAGGAAACACCTTTTCTTTTGGGTTATTTGTTCGGTTGCAGTCTATCCAGGTCAGTCAGACTCTAATCAAACAGCAGCAACAAAGAACAAACCTTGAACCAAGTCTCCAAGAAGTGACAGAAGAACTTCCCCATTGCACCGGCATTGTAAATCTTACTCATACTTGAAGCTTCTTTTTGGGTTATTTTTCCCCCTCCTTACTTGTGTTCTTGGGTTGTTGTTCATGCCCGCGGGGGGAAAGGATGCTGGTGCTGGTGAGATGTGTGGCCTTCGTGGATTCACTGCCTTCCCATCTCGGGCCTGGCCCCAAAGTCCCCCTCTGCAGCGCTGGCTGAGCAGGGAAGTGGCCATCAGAGAAGCGGGAGTTGCCACCCTGCTTTGGGGCCTGGCTCTGCCAAGCCTTCTCCTGGCCCTGTGTTCACCCTATCTCCCTCCTCCCCCCCCTTCCTCTCACTATAATTTATGTGTGTAAGAATCTCAAGTGCTTTTCTCCTTTATGCTCTGTTAAAATCAGGGATGCCATGCACTGGAAGAGAGACCAAGGTCTGCTCTGAGCAGGCAGAAAAGCATTGCTCTTTGGTTGTCTTATGACTGTTTGCTGGACTGAGAGGTGCTGTGGGGGAAATGTTGATTTCTCTGTTGGCTCTCCTCCTCCTCCTCCTCCTCTTGGACATGTGCAGAAGCAGCTGTGAAACCTCACTTCCACGCTTTGTGTTTATCCAGACATGTCCTAACCACCTGCTTGCCCTGGCTGCTCTTCCCAAGAGCTTCTGTGTATCAAGTGTTGCCCTCCCGTGCACCAGTGAGAACTTGCAGCGCGTCTTCAAGAGCTGGAAGTGCTCTCCCTCTTCCAGCGCTGTCAAACGGGCTGCCAGGGCACAGGGACTGGGTTCCTTTTCACTTTAGAAAAAAAAAAAAATCTGTTGGATGTGTCCTTCCATGACCCACGTCCGGTTTCCAGCCTCCAGGCATGACTTGCCCTCTCTCTACCATGAGGATGCTTGCAGCTGGCCAGCTGTAGAGCTGGTATTAGAGCCTCTCCCATGAAGAGTAATTGGAGTTTTACCTTTGACTTCAAGTTTTTTGCAATGCCCAGTGCAATGCAGGGTCTTCCACGCCATGATCAAAGCTCCTCTGGATACTGCCAGCCTAGCAGCAATAGCTGAAATGGGAACGGGGCGCGAGTCAGCTGTTGAGGCAGTAGTGTTTGGGAGGAGGGTTTTTTTTAAGTATTTTCTTCCTCCATGCAAATCTCGAAAGCAAATACTGTGGTGCCAGTTACGAAGCCAGTATGTGTGTTTCTGAATGAATGTATGGGTGTTTGCGAGTGTCTGTCAACCAGCACCCATTTGCATGCAAACACTGAATCTCCTGTAAGCAGGAGAAGAACAAACGGATTGCAGAAAGAAATGACCCTCTCCATTCAGGTTCCTTCTCCATGGGAAGAATTTACTGATGCTGTGTAGCATCTATGTCCCTTTCCACCACTGGGACACAACTGTGTCCCTTTCCTACCCTGAGATGACAGCTGGCATTTCTCCGCGTAAAACCAGCTTTACAGAGCGTACAGAATTGATCTGGAGGATCCCACCAGGTATCAAGCGTTACTTAATATCCAGGGTGCCGTCATTTTGCAGTTTTACCACCAGTTTCTGGCAGGCCTTGTAGTGTGCCTTTACAAAGCAATGCACGAAGTAGCGCACCCTTTAAAAATGGTGTTTGTTGGCACTAAATTTTGAGCCACGAAAAGTCAAATTACGTTTCTCAGGGTGAGCTCTGAACACAGATGTAACAAAGGGGAAGAATGTAGTGTAAAACCACTTGGGTTTCTTTTTTTTTTTTTTTTTTTTTTTTTTTTTTTTAATTAAAAGAAATCTATCCCCACCCCCCACCCCCGGCCAAATCTATGCCTAATCTATTGACATTCCTCTAAAAACCCAGTGGTTAAATATTTCGCGGGGGGCTGTGCCCTCCGTGGGATGGAGCCTCCGGGGGGTGCGTGTGTGGCTGTGTGTGTGGCAATACCACATTTTAAGTGGCTACTGTATATAAATTGTGGTCCCTGGTGCGGGGAGTACTGTGATTGTGAAAGGGATGGACTGCTGTATTTTGAGCACGAGGTGTAGATAGACGGGGGCTAACTAGGACTGCAGGTCGGGGTGGGATGGGAGGGAAGTGCGAGCCCCTCGCTCTGTGTTTTGAGAACACGCGCTCTAGCTGGGCAATGCAACCGCGTTGGCTGAGACTGAGGGCTGAAGGTGCCAACTCCACAGGGAGAGGGGCATGCGCAGAGGAAGTTGCTAATTTTTTTTTTTTTTTTTTAGAACGCCACTGAAATGAAGCCAGGGTCACTGCAAAAAAAACCAACTAAACAAAAACAAAAAAAAAAACTCTGTCTGCTTTTGCTGGGGCTTGGAAATGCCTTAAAACAGGACCTCGCGTCCTCGTTGTCGAGCATCTTGAACCAAGGTCAGATTCAGCAGTGCTCCCTAGGGGCTGTGCACTTAACTTCGGCTTTATTTTTAATAGCATTTATAACATGTATGTAAAAAAAAAAAAGACATTGAGGTTTGTTTTTTTTTTTTCTGGGGGTTTTTTTTGCTTTTTTTTTTAAAAAGAAGATGTCCATGTGGCTTCATTTATAGGGTAAATTAATGACCGTTGTGAACTGCTGTATGAATTCTGAAGGGCAATGCACAGTAGAGGAGCAGCATGATATAACCATTACTAACTTGTGTCTTTCGTCAATCACCATGAAATAAAGTTTGAAAACTATTAAATATGTTTTTAAGGGGCCTGTTGCTTTTTTATTCTTTTTGTACTGTGTGCCTCACGCTTGCTCGCTGGCGTCTGTCTCCTGGGCAGATACTGTGTGAAGCCGAACCAGTATCTCCCTCTCTAGCTCCCTTAGAACCAGAGTGTCTTACGCAGGTACCTGCTGCATCTTCTAAATGCAGCCTCTTTACGAATGCCTACCTCAATCCTATCCAGCCAGTGTTTGCAGGAGGAAGGCTCCTGTGTGTCTCTCCCCTCCTCTGTGGCCGTCCGACCGGGCTCTGAATGGTTTCACCTACTCAGGTATCCACTAGCTTTGCTTTCTTTGCCGTGCGTGCTTTTATCACCTCTTCTTAGGTCGCATTTTCAAAAGAGGTTTTGTGTCCCGTTGGCATCATGCCATGTCAGCAAGACTGAAGCGATGCTGCTGTGGCCTGCTTCTTACTGATGGTAGCAGTTTCCCCTGGGTTTTACCCTCTGTAAGCTGAGGAGCCATGGAAAGTCAGTCGCAAGCATGCAAGCAGGATGTGGTTTGAGATACACCAGCATCTACGTTCCTGCTCTCAACAGGTCTTCCTAATGGGGCCTTTCCACCTGGCCAGAGCCCTAGCTCTCTGATCTCTGCAGATTAATCTTTCTGCAAGAAGGTGGGAGGTAGAGAATTTTGCTTGATCAAGCGCTCGTGTTCATCCAAGTGGTGTGAAGTGAGAAAAGAACGTGGGTTTCCTGCCATTGGGGAGGCAGCTAATTTAGCAAACCGAGTCATTTTGATATCCAGCGATGATGCGCGTTTGATTGGTGTCTGCACCAGCTCAGCGGGGACTGGCTTTTCAATGGACAATGAGACGCCGAAGACTCACAATGGGGAACAATGAGGCCAGTGTTTGAACAGCCACAGGGGTTGCACAACTCACAACTGGGGCCATGTTTTGCTCAAGATCAGTCTCCTGGTGCAGCGTCTTCTTGACAATGACCTTATTATGCCACGACAGGCACGGGCTTGCAAAGTCAGTACCTCTTTCGCAGGCGTTTTGCCAGCTTGCTGCAAAGCAGTTGGAGGAAAAGCTATCGTCGTCTTGGCCAGAAGGAAAAGCCGAGCTCTGGCAGCTGGATGGGTTTTTTTTTTTTTTACTACAAGCTGGAAAAACCCATTGTGAGGAGAAAGAGGAAGGAAAGGACAGGAGCCACGCTGTGGGTATGCTTGGGCAGGCAGCAAGCATGGCTCAGGCAAACGGCCTGGCCGCACTTAATGGCAGCCCTTGCTCTGAGAGCAGCCTGCTCGGTGCTCTCAGGAACGCACCACGAACGCGCCACGAACATCAAGCCTGACTGCCCAGTCTGCGCTCACCGCGAGCAAAGGCAATCAGCTCATGTCAAGGAGAGGGGTTGGGGTTGGATGGTCTTTACCCATCCTTGGCTTGCTCCGGCACCCGTAGCCTCTGGGAACAGCTAACCCTGAAGCCCCTTGTGAGCTTCTCCCACGCCCGGGGGCTTCAGTCCGGGGCGAAATGCAGCTTGCTCCAGTCGTCTCAAGCCACTGAGCTGCGGCTGCAGCAGGATGGCGGGGAAGCCGATGGGGGGATCCGGGGGAAAGGAAGGGCAGTGAGCGCGTTGCTTTGGCGATGGTGTGGATGGTCTCACAGGGCTGTCCCATGGGATTTGGATCCGGTGTATCGCCTTTTTACAGTTGCCCGCTGTGCTTAGCTGGTTAGTGTGAAGTGAGAGACTGATTAGCTTGCTTGTTCCCGAGGTTGCTGCTGCTAGCCACGCTGGTGGCGGGGCTAGTCCTTCTGCAGTACAGCAGATGAGACCTAAATCCCTGCTGAGTGTTATTTGTGGCCCACGTCCCTTTCCCCTGTAGCCTGCGGTAGTGCTGTTAACAGACCTGGACTCCTCAGCTCCATGGCTGCTTGGCCTCATTTTGCAGCGTGTGTGGTGGGGAGCAGGAGCCGTGGATTTCTTTCCCTGCTCTGCTGCTGATGCAGCCTGTGCCTTGGGCTGGTTGCTTCCATTGCCTGCACTGCGCTCTCCTCACCTGCCAAAGCAGCGTAATGATCCATTACCCTGCTCTGTAATGTACCTGTGTGTCTCTGGCTGGGAAAACGTGATTATTCAGAGAGAAAAGGGGCTGCAATGTTTGTAAGTAGACAACTTGGCCCATGAACCCAGTCTTTCTGGCTCCACATCAAAGGAGCCTGTCACAGGGTCTACAGTTCAGGGCTATGCAGACGCCTTGAATTTAAGGGTTTATGGAGCTCCTGTGGCTGGGAGTGCAAACGTCTTCCCAAAGCTGAGCACACTGTGCTGGGCTGCCTGAGTTGCCATCTCTCAGGTGGATGTAACATGAGGGTCCTGGCCCCATGCGGAGCTGAGGGAATGGGACTAGTTTACAGTGTGTGGCCAAAGTGCACCTGGGGGAATTCCCTTCCGTCAGTCTGGAATCCCAGTCACTTCCTCTGCATTCCCAGCACCAG